AGATACATTACTCGTTAGTATTACCAGTTAAACAAATATACTTGTTGTTAACAAACATTCTCAAAGACATTTTAACAGAATGCATTTATATAAATAAATTCTAACATAATACATTACAGAATACACTTAAATCATAGTCTTTTGTTCTATATGCATAAACATTCTAAAGCATTTATAAATATATTCTGTCAGAATTACTAGCAACACATGTTTTATGTAATATTTATATTCTCATAGAATGAATATGTGTTTGCATTCTGATATGAAAAAAAATAAAGAATAAAATTCGAATTCATTCTTAGAGAACAATCATTGTAAAAGAATAAAATTAAAGCTTCCCTACCTTTTTTGGTTGTCTAGGTCTGATCAATTTGTAGGATTACATGTGAAGAATATTTCCCTTCTTCATTCTGAAAGAATAGTAGCCTTCTTCAAACTAAAGCCCTCTTTATTCTAAAAGAATATCGCCCTCATTCTGAAAGAATTTACAGGTTAACATTCATTTGGTAAAGCAAACAAGTTATATTACTGTAGGTGAAAATCAAAAATTATAAAGTTTGAAACCATTTAAAGTTAAAGTTTGTAAACCTTTAAGTATTACTCAATTAACTAAAATATTAAAAAAAGAAAAAAAAAAGAAGAGAGCATGGAAGGGATTTGCTGCCATATCAGCCAAGCTGATGATGATATTCACATGCAAACAAACAATAAATCATCACAAATCAAGGAATGTGAATGGAATGGAATGGAATGGAGTCAGTCATTACCTTGAAGGTGCAGTAACATAATAAGCAAGACAACCAACTGGAACAGATTGACCAGAGTATTCAGACTCCTTCCATTTTCCCAACATATTAATCAAGAAATTCCCACTGTACTTTCTGTGCAACAACTGAAAAGGAACAACAACAACAATATAAGTAATTATTCAATTCAACAGGTAAAGAAATAAAGAGTAGATAAAAGTTTAATACCTGAGAGATGAAATAAAGGTTGGAAAAAAGTGCAGACTGCAGAATAATAGGCATGTTGGAAGTGTAAAACAGCTTAATGGGGGTAAGACCCTTGTTGCCCACGAGCATTCTTAGATCTCACAGGTAAAACAACACGGAACCCTTGAAAGTATATAACAATCAAGAAAATCAACACAGTAGCAAGCAGATTAGTCACATTAGGCAGATTTTGCCTATAAAAAGCTTCACATAATGCTCGAACTTTATCAGATCTAGTGATTAGAAGATGAAAAAATGCAATCACTACTCCTTCAAATTCAACACCATGTCCACTGTTAATTGTTGTAGGGCTGAATGCTTTCCAGATAATGCTTTCACAGATATTGGTAGCTATGAACAATGAAATCCCAGACCCTAAATCGTATCCCTTTTGAAGAGGTTCATCCAAACAAATCACAATAATCCCAGCAAAACATAACTGAATGATTATAAGAATGGCATTTCCAACACCAAGTTGACCAACACTTCCATACATTCTTGGTAGAACACAGGAATCGAAACATGCATATTGCTTAAGCAACGATCTACACGAAGTAAGCATAAAGATATCTTATAAAGAGGTGATCTAGAAGAAGAATGAAAGAGATGCTGTTGGCAGCCACGACGGTAACCGATTCGCACAGAGGGAGGACCCAGGTAGAATGCATCGATACCCGTTTATGAAACCCGGATTCAAAACACGAATCTTGATTCTTTGTTGGTGGTTGGTATGACTACTGATCTTATTGATATTGTTGTTGTTGAAGATTGAACAGATAAAAATGATTGAGACCACACGCTTAGAAGAAGTAGAAGCGGAACCCTAGATTGCAGGGGGGGATTCGATTTGGAAGAGACAATTGTGGAAGAGATAAGAAGAAAAAATATGGTATTACCTTCCTTTGAAGGTGTCCTCTTCGATGTTGTTTTTAATCGATCTACAGGGGTGGTGGGAAGTGGTGAAATCGATTTAGGGCTTATCTTTGCTTCTTGCGTGATATAAGGAATTGTTGTTGATCTACCATAATTAACTATGCAAAGATTACTATAAAACCCTTAAATGATTTATTTTTTCCTAATTTCTTATTGGTGCATTCATGCACACAATAGTTGCTAGAAACATTTGAACCTACCTATATATATATATATATATATATATATATATATA